GACTCTATATTTGCACATGTTTTCCCCTTTGTTTCTTGGTCGTTTAAGCTTGCATTATCTCTTCTTTGGCCTATTTTACGCTAGTTTGTGTTCCTTTGTCACATTTCAGATCCTAGCACATAAAGTGAAGTGTAGGCGCAGGTTTCAAGTCAATCGGAGATCAATTGGCGACTAGGGGGAAGAAACTCGGGTATGACTTGAAGAAGAATAGATTTATACCTCAGTTTGTGACCATATAATCATGTAAACTTGTATTGAGAAGAAAGAGGACGAGACTACGAGCGTCTGGGATCAAACGGCACCTGATTTGGAGTCCGAACGAGGGAGAAACGAAAAATCAAAGATAGAGGACCCGGAACTGCAAAATACCCGACCAAAATACCTTACCGTGTATTTTGACCATCTGATAGGGGATTTTTGACAGCATCAGAAGGCCCCCCGGTCGTGAACCAAAAATACTCGGTCGGGTACCCAAAATACCTGACCGGGTCGCGAACGCAGACTGTTAAAAGCCTGTTTTGTGCGTTTTGGTGGGGGGAGCTGGGTTTTGGATCCCAAACACCCAAAGGACAAACCAAAGAGAGAGACGGCGATTTGAGGGCATTCTTGGAGTGGAATTGGAGGATTTCTTTGCCTTGGAAGCTCGAGGAACAAGCCAGGACTTGAAGACTGATCATCTGAAGATTCTTACTGCAGTCTCTCTCTTCTCTATGGACTAACTTCCCTTCACTTAGGTTTTGAGGAACCCTAGCTATGTTTGTTTGATTGGATGATTGTATGAGTAATCTTACTTGATAATCTTGAGTTCATATTCAATCTATGCATGTTTTCATGATTCAATTCTACTTTAGTCGAGATTATTGATTCTGCTTTGATCCTATGAGAGCGAATACCTGATTAGGTCAATAGAGCACCATAGATTGATAGTATTGGATTGATTGCTTTAGTCGAGGGTTGATTCAATGCTTTGTATCGATTGAGAACCTCATTCGATAGAGGGAATCTAGTTCAGAACGCCTTGATCGGTTGTTCTAGAGAAGGATACGTCCCTCTAGGCAATTGACTCAAGAGGGCCTTGTTCCTTTAGTCGAGACTCAAGGTCTAGTTAAGGATTCTCCACATTGTGAATGAAAGTGAAACAGGTTAGAGATCATCAATCATTAATCTGGCTAGTGGCTAGGGAGAATCATACCTAAGTGAGTTCCCAACTTGTAATTAGATTAACTTTAACTGTAGTTTGCTAGAGTAGTTTTAGTTCTTCCATCTTAATCTGGTTTGCTAGATAATGAACTGAAGCTGAGTAATAGTAACTCTAAAGACCCGTGGATTCGATATTTATTACTTGAGCCACTATCACTACAAGAAAAAACCATTTCCGCAACCATAAAAAATGGTTGCTGAAGATCGGAAAATGGTTGCCGAAACTTTTTGTCAACTATAAATGGGGGTCGCCAACATGGTCGGCAAAAGACCGTCGCCCAAAGCTCTAGGCGACGATTATGTTAAATGGTTGCTGAAAAGATGTTTTGGGCAACCATAATCAATGGTGGCCAAATTGTTGCTCCAGCGACTCATAACATATGGTCGCCAATAGGTTTCTGTGGCTACTACTAGTAATGGTTGCTTAAGGTACAAACTTCAGCAACCCTTTGAATATGGTTGCATAAAGGTTGAAAACTACAACAACCTTTCTGATGGTTGCTGATTGTTAGACTTCCATCAACTATTTGATTGGGCTGCTAATGGTGTGTCGCTTCCTGCAACCAACTTGGTAGTCGGTTATGATTTAATCATTACTGAAAGTATAATTTTAGCTAACAAAACATAAATTGTAATAGATTTGGTTGTTAATACCTAGAACTTATAAACTCCGAACATTGAATTTAATAATAGTCTCAAACATTTAAGAAATATATTTATGATAATACAATAATGTACTTTAAATTCTCAAGTAATGAGAAATTCTCAATCATGTGACTAAAATGCTAATGGTAGAACACAACATACAAAACTTCTAACTCTAGTGCATTGACTATACATTATAAATAGTATCATCATAAATAGAATTCTCGTTACTAAGACGACTCCAATGGTAGTCCAGCTATCGGCCAAACATTCTTCTTCCCACAGCCGAGACACTTCATCTGAAGGATATAATACAGAGAGGCATAAGTAATATCTCTTAAGCAAACAACCACAATAGTTTAATGGAACGAACCTTACCAATTTAAAGTTCAAACAACCAGCATAAGAGGATACACAGACAAAGGAAAGCTTAAAAAACAGAGAAAAGAGAGATGCTTGGTGAAACACCTACAATTAAAACATGACATCACATAATTATTAATAATAGCAACAACCAATGTAATACAACTCATTTTCCATTGCTTACAGAAGTTCACAGCAAATGGAAGCCCTTACAAATCTCTCCATAACCGAGCCATTACACAGCCATTCTCGACATTAGTTACCTTTATACAAACCCAAATTTGTAACAATTATTATTTGCAAACCATTATATAGCCATAACTAGAATGTACACCAAAGTTCATACAATGCAATAGCTAGGAAGGACTGTTGTAAAAGCTTCAGCGATAGTTTGCAGTGTGTATCTTATAGCTAGCTAATAAAAAATCTGATAATCAAGAGACCAAATACAAGCAGATGATAGCCATGATTCTAAAACAATGGCTGATTAAATTCAATGGAAATTTCTTGCTCTAGGCAAGAAAAGAAACGACATAAGGATTTTATCAAAAGCCACCACAACCAACTAACAATCGAACTCGATGAAATTTTTAGGGTTTCATTTCTCACCCGAATCCCAGCTCATACAAACGAAGCAAATAAGACAAGTAGAGGGGACGAGTGGCGACTTACCTGGTGGTGTCATGACTGGAGGAAGCATTCTCACCAACAACGACGGAGGAAGAGCAAAGATTGGATGAAGCGCTCGTCACATACAACTTATTTTTCTACAGGCTGCCTGAGTTTGAAGGAGGGAAAGAGCGAAAGAAGAAGTATTATAGGTAGGATTGGAAAATAGTAGAGTGGCTTAGCTTGGAGTTCTTACTTGCGATGGAGACCGTGGCCTGGAGTTCCTTCGTGCGAGAGGATGAAATAAATTTGAAAAGAATCGGGAAAGCGTGGCAGCGCGGAGGAATTAGAAAGCGGGGAAGGAGTGGAGCATAGAGGGAGACAACACCGGCAAGGATGACGTTATCTTGGAGGGAGATGAAACCGCCCGAGTCTCGACAGCCGCCTCAGCTGCGTGTGTGGAGAACCAGAGAAGAAAGAAAATTAGGGATTCTGTTTTGGAACTGAAATGGACAGATGGGGAAGATTGAAGGAGACTCGATTGTTTTGTTTCTTCCCACTTCTTTCAACAACAAAACTACGACGTTTGACAGTACCATCTCAGTTTAGGTGAATAAAAATAGAAGTTAATATTTAGAATCTTTTATCCAACTAAGAAGATAAATACAATGAGGTGCCCCTCAAATTTTAAAATTAAAATTGAAAAAGAGAAGGATAGAATTGGGGAAATAAAATTACGTCTGGTAGACAACTAATTTGATGAATATTTGACTTAAGCATAAATCTTTTACGAATGGTTGATTAAGCTTAATTAAACTTGATTTGTTTAACATCCTTACTACGTAATAATCAAACATGAAAGAATCCAGTTAAATGGTGAAGTATATTATGAATCACTAACGTAATGCTTTATCAAAATGATAATTAATAAAAAAATTTACAATGAAGATATTAAAATATTCTTGTAATTGAATGAAAAGAAATTATTTTTGATGAAGTATATTATGTATCACTAACTATTTTGATAATGGTTGATGAAGTATTACTTTTCGGCAACCATCTTTCAAATCGTTGCTAAAACTTTGGTCAATCCGCAACCATTTCAGTAATAGTTGCTCAACATCAAGTATGAGCAACTATTTTGATAATGGTCGGTGAATCATTTACATTTCAGCAACCATCCTTGAAATCGTTGCTCAAACTTTGCTGAATCGACAACCATCCTTGAAATCGTGGCTCAAACTATGTTGAATCGGCAACCATTTAAGTAATAATAGTTGTTCAAACAACAAGTATCAACAATTATTTTGATAATGGTTGCTGAATCATTGACTTTTCGGCAACTATCTTACAAGTCGTTGCTCAAACTTTACTCAATCGACAACCATTTAAGTAATAGTTGCTCAAACAACACAAGTATCACCAATTATTTTGATAAAGGTTAGTGAAGTATTGACTTTTTGGCAACTATCTTACAAGTCGTTGCTCAAACTTTGCTCAATCGGCAGCCATTTGAGTAATGGTTGCTCAAACATCGAGTATCAGCAACTATTTTAATAATAGTTGGTGAAGTATTGATTTTGTGCAACCATTTACCTAATGGTTGTTCAAAAGTTAGGTATCAGCAACCATTATGCAAATGGTTGCAGAAGTTTTGGCCTATTGACAACCATTTCAAGATAGTTGCTCAAAGGTTGGGCATCACCAACTATTTTGTGAATGGTAGCCAAAATCCTAGTTATCAGCAACCATTTTCTTATGGTCGCTAAGAAAATGGTTGCTGAAACCCTTTTTTCTTGTAGTGTATACTGCAGTCCCTTTCATTGGTTACACTTGGCCATTGTTAGGAGTTGTGTCATAGCGAGTCAGTAACCATGTCAACCCATCAAAACATCATCATCATTTTCCCATTTCGTCTTTACTTCTACCTACCTCAAACCAACTGATTTAAAATTATATGAAAACCAATCGAGTCCAAGCAAACACCACTTGACTCCATACTCAATTTTTTTAGGGTATTTTGGAAACAACCTTCTTTCTTTTTTTCTCTACCAAAACCACATGCAACATACTACTACCACGTAACTTCCAGTTCCAAAACGAACACCCACAACTTCCTTGATTCAAACCCACAATAAAATACAACTACTACCCAATTTCCAGAATTCAACCCCAAGCCGAAGCTAACATACACAGATATTCAGTGCTACAATTGCCAACAATCCAAACCAATCATTACCCACAACAAACAAAGCACAAAAATTCCAGATTATCAAGTTTCACCAATAAGTAGCCAAGCATCCATTCCAAAATATCCAGAATCGCAAGCTAGCAAATTCTAATCTCTCGATCCATCCTGCCCACGTGGCACGCCCCCAATTAAGTCCCGCCGTCGGCCAATCGATCTCTCTCAGTTCTTCATCCCCGGCTGCCAGCCACGCAGAAAGAAACCAATCTTAACCGCTCACGATCCATTGTAATCACAGAGAGAAAACTAATTAAAGACTTAACAGAACAGGAAAAAAGAAGGAACAAATTTGCACCTGTGATTATAATTGACGGTGGTTTTACGGCTAAGAGGGGAGGAAGGCAACAGCGGTCTCGTCAACAACACCACTACTCGATCATTCATGATCACCGGCGACGACGAAGCCGCAGCAGCCACCATATTCTTGATCATCAAGCCATAGTTATTATTATGATCAACCCCGGCGCCGGCTTTCAAAACGTCGTCAAGGAGATCCTGGCCCACATGCGAATCCTCCTCCCGAATCCGCAGCACCTGGCTATGCACGTACCCTTTCCTCCTCAGCCGCCGCCCCAAATCCTCCTCCTCCTCCCAATAACAACTGGTCTCACGATCGTCATCCCTCTCGGCCGGAGACTCCCTGTTATTCCTGACTGTCATAGCTCTCTTCTGTGATCAGCGGAAATAGAGAGAGAGAGAGAGAGGGGAAATAAAACATTAGAACCCAAAATCAAACCTTAAATATGACATGAAGAAAAAAACCCCTCTTACTCTCACCATCACGTCCATCGCTGGCATTTCTTTCGTCGGCGGCGACCTCGTTCCCCCTTTCCTCGCGACCAGAACCTAAACATTCAAAACAAAAACGGGTCAGTTACAGTTACTGTTTCGGGCTACTGTTTCGGGCTGACTGTACTTGGATTGTTTCCTCTTTTTTTCTGGTTCCCTTGTGTTGTTGCTGGGTGTTCGTCTGTTATACCGGTTTGAGGCCTTTTCGACGTCTTCGGGCTCTCGTCTTCCTTCCTGCAGGGGCGGTCTGGTCCGCCTTGTAGGCTTTGCCTTTCTTCTGGGCTGGGTTTCCTTTTCTGTTGTTTTGCTTGCTGGAACTATGTTCTTGGGGATCAATTCTCTTGATCCTTGTCTGTTTTAATAAAATCCATCACACTTATCAAAAAAAAAAAAAAAAAAAAAAAACGGGTCAGAACCCTAAAGCGCACAAATAAACCAAGAACAAATAAAAATTCTTCACCCAGATAGTGAGTCGTCGCTGTTGTCATCGATAACCTCCCCGTCACTGGTGCCTCGCTGGAGGTAACATCGTCGGAGCTCGGTCCTTCTCCTCTCCGAACCTGCTCAAGATAGGTGCACAACCATGGGTTATGCACCCATCAATAACCAAATCTGGACCCTTCATTTAGAAAATTCAGATCTAAGCATAGAGAATTAAAGACTATTTTTATTTTCACTAGCTTTCTTAATTGACTCATATCTTTTTCGTTTTAACTCGGATTTTAATTTTTTTTTGCACAGATGGAACGAGTTCACCGTGCTCTACAAAATGAGATCAATTTTCAATATTTTTTTAGGAAAAAAAATTCTGGCCTCTCGGTACCAACTACATACCATATGGTATCTTCTTCGTTTTTAATTTGTTTTTGAAAACGTTTGCACAGAAGTGATGAGTTCATCATGATTTACTGGATCTACAAATTTCTGGATGAACAAATTACAGGACCAAAAAATACCACACAATACCATACAATACCACCCTGGTACGGGGTGGTATTGTATGATATCTTCTTCGTTTTTAATTCGTTTTTGAAAACGTTTGCACAAAAGAGACGAGTTCATCATGATCTATTGGATCTACAAATTTCTGGGTGAACAAATTACAGGACCAAAAAATACCACACAATACCATACAATACCACCCTGGTACGGGGTGGTATTGTGTGGTATACAATGTTAAAAGTCGTAAATTACAATTAATATACTTCTACTATCATGTATTCAACCATCCTACAGTATTGGTTTGTTCATACCACCATGGTACGTTTTTCAAAACATAGGTATGCTTTTATTTCAATACCAGTCAATACCATATGGTATAGGCTGGTAAAAAATGGCTCAATTTTTTTTGAAAAATATATTAAAGTGGATATCAATTTGAAGAGCACAATTAATCTGATCTAACTGTGCAAAAAAAAATTAAATTTCGACTTAAAATGAGCGAGAAATCGTCCATCAAAGATTAAAAAGGGAAAAATTAAAGGCTTTCCATGAGAGAGAGGATGCTGATGTGGACGGGTTACTCATGGTTACTCACCATAAGGTTACTGACCTGATCCATTCCCCTCCGAACCCCCCCCCCCCCACATACCGAGAAATTGAATCTTGCTGGTGGCTTTTCTATCTCGCACCGTCAACGGGAGCCCTTGCCGTTCGGCGAGCTCTACTTCTTCTCCTCCCTCGACGAGAACCAAAACACAGAACAGGGGAACAGAGGTCAGACCTCAAAATTCCATCAAACCCGAAATTGAAGGTGAAAATCCATAAAAAATCCACATGCAACCCAACATTACCTTGATCCATCCATCTCGGCGCCGCCGCCATCGCCATTCCTTTTTCTCCCGTTGCTTCTGTTTGCCAGTAGAGGCGAGAAATGAGCAAACAAAGATGAGAAAAGGTGGCAACAAGGGTGATATAGGAGAGCAAAAGAACAGGAGAGGATCGACTTTGTTAAGACTTAAGAGTTCCTTCCTAGAGGAAAGAACAGAGAAGAGTTTTGTTTTCTGTTTTCAGAGAGAAGGAAGAAAAATGAAAGAGAGATCGAGAGAGGACTGAGGAGAGAAACGTTTGCTTGGGTCGGCGGTTAGGGTTCCCATCCACTCATTTATTCTCGTTTTTCTAAAATGACCAAAATACCCCACTAATTTCGACTGTTCTTGCTTCCGTGAGCACCATATGCCTTATGTAGTTCATGGGCTCTCGAACAAGGTACAAAGCAATCTGCATCCTCCTCACTTGAGTGCATGGCTATCAACATCAACAAACATGGTTCTTAACGCATGATTCAAAAATAACAATCAAGTGTGGTTTTCTAATATGAGAACTAGAATTGTCTTTACCCAAATATAAGAGGAGTCCCAGCTTGCGCCATACATCCACATGCAGACCCAGACTCCACTGTCAGACCTACATAAAATGAAAGCATTACATGATAAACAAGTTGATAAGCCGTCGTTTAATATCACACAAAATGGGCATACTTACCGATGAAGTTGTTCTTGATCCTTTGAAGGATTTGTGTATGAAAACTCCGCAATCCTTGGTGGCGACAATCCCGGACCTTGTCCACAATAGAGAATCTTCCACAAGGCTTGCATAAATCTCATCTGTACAAATTAAGAAACGTTTGTACTTAGAAAGAGGTATTTACATTTTTTTGCGTTATAACGGCACAATGTCACAATTTTACCATTGTTTGAACAGATTGTAGTCGAAAGGAATTGTGGTCTTCATTTGGTTGTGGATCCAAGATATGGACTTCTTCCTTGTCCAACTTAATGACAGCCAAGTACCAATGGGCATTATCTCTCATCGGAACACACACCTACATATGCGAAAATTATCAACACGTATTAAAAAAATAAACTGCAAACCATGTAATACTTATTAAGACGAACAGTTTACCTTGTTCACCATATTGGTTCGACTAAGGAATTTTGATTCGTATAGGTCTAATGCCCTCTTGGGTGTTATTCCACATGAAATCACTAGTTCCTGCCCATGTGGTAGTTGCACAATTGAAATTTTGTCAACACAATATCATTCACGTTAAAAAAACATGTGTTGTATTTTTTTGGTGAGAGGAAATTAATCTTAAGCATAATCGGACCACAACCTGTAGTTCCGCAGGCAGATAGCACACTCCTTTTCCGTCCTTAGAATTTGTCCACAACTCTTCTAGAGTCAAGTGGCAGGCCACCGCTGTTATAACCTAATATAATATGGGCAAAAAATACTTCATGATACTATAGATTTGTTATAAAATAATTCTACCTAGAAAGCATTGATAGTGGACAAACAAAACAAAATTTTGGAGTTCCGTTGATTACTTCAGCATCTACGAATGAGCGAGGGCTTAAGGACCACAATGACTTCTTGGTACAAGAGTTGTTTGAGGTTTTGACCAATACTTCGTCAGGTGGCAGATTGGCTAAAAATATATAGTGAGCAAGCTGGATTTGCTCATCATCGTATTCCATACCAGTAGGTAGCTTAAACTTCAAAACAACATGAAATAGGGACCACAAATAAACACGAGTCGAAATGCATTTGTTATGTCTGACGGAATAACGGCAAAGAACACTTTAATGGCAAATATGACACCTTTATTACCTTGTCAACAGAACTTAGAGAAATACTTTTTCCATTTGACTTCTTTGGTGTTACCTCAGAGTCAAATTCATCGTCTGAAATAAAAACGATGACTGAAGCAGGAGTGGATGGAGTGCTTACACCTTTGGGTAGCTTTGGTTTCTTTGTTGGAGTCACAAATTTGGCGGTCTCCTTCAATGACAGTGAACCTACGATTAATAAATTAACTAGAATGAATTTCAATGGTTAAAGAGCTATTAGACATACCACAAGCTTGGACGAAGAGCGAGTAATCCTCCTATTTTCCATGTTGTGCCTCTAAGCTTTAGTCTGTACTCAAAATTGCGGCAAAGAAGGATATGGAACCACTGCTCTACCGCTGAAGATTAATTATATATACAAGGTTAGGATAAAATGTGGCAGCATATTTTTCCCACGAAAAATAGATAGGGTTTAATGTAAGGTACATGAACTTGGGATAAACATGGGTAGTTATTAAACCTAAAATTAAAAATATATTTTGTTTTTCGATTGAACAAATAATTGAGTGTTATTAGTAAATATTCGCTCATATTAATATTTGATCCTTCCCCATACACGTAGTACACAGCTAGAGTCAGCTGGCGTTTGGCTTTACTAAGCATTCCTTTTCATTTTAAATATTTTCGTTATTTATGAAAATGGTAAAGAAATCACTAAGATAAAGAATAAAAAGTTCAAATCATTCCTACCAAAAAAAATATATATCACAAATCGTGTTATGATTCGGTTTAATGGGGATAGTTATTAAGTGGCCCATTCAAGCATTAATTCGGCCATCATTCCCAGTAGGGTTTTGTAATCTACATCCTTGGTTCCCCAAAATTTCCCGCAGTGACAATGACGTCGGAGGCTGACCCACCATTGAGTCGGAGGCAGTCCTACTATTGACGTTGGAGCCAATCCAAGAAAATGATGGTGTCGGAGCCAGTCACACCACCCAGGAAGATAATGTCGCCGATCTCATATTTCTACAGCCTAAAGATATTGAAAAAATGAAGTTCGATGATACAGAAGAAGCCTATGATTTCTACATGGACTACGGGTTAGTCAAAGGCTTTGACATCGGAAAATCAGACATTGGTCGTGATAAGAACCAAGTTATGATATGGCGTGACTATGTATGCTCTGGCAAGGAAAAGAGGCGCATGAAAAGCACAGAACGAAAGAGAGAAGCAAGAGGGGAGACCAGATTTAACTGCAGAGCCAAGATGCGTGTTAAACACGACAAGGTCGATAGGAAGTGGTATGTGCACCAGTTTGATGATGTAAACACACATGAAAC